TACCACAAAATCAGTGTCACTGAAGTAGCGCTCACAAGCTGAGAGTAGCATGCAATTGGCAGAAAAAAGAGCAACATTTGCAACATTCATTGAAGTAGCTTCAGCAGCATGTTTTACCTGCTCTTTGGTTCTTTCTCGCTTCTTCTGTTCCTTGTAATTCTTTCCCAGCTTGAAAGACCCAGCCAGACCATGTCCTTTAACTTGTTCTATCACCTGCTCTGCAATTAGCTTTTCTAGAGTTCTTTTGAGAAGCCGTCTATTTCTCTGTGTGTCGTACCTATATATGGAACTGATGTACTTAAATATTGCAATGATGGATGCTCCTTTCTTCACATTCATTTCCTTTACAGCTGCTAATATCATTACTCGTAAGCCTGTATGAAGAATCAAAACAAAACAACTTACAGCTTAGATAAAATGAAGTTACCTCACATTATGTGTATTAAGGGAACTCTAAAGATAGTGTTCATCTAAAAAATGCAGACAGGCAGCAGTTTTGACAAACTTTTACTTGATGCAGCTCTACAGATTGATGTTTTGCAGTGATTCTAAAACAATGTTGGATAGCAATGGAAATAAATCACTCAATTTCCTTATTGACCCATAAAAAAGACAACTTGTTTCATTTATATGCATGAACTCTTTACAAAGACCACTAGTTACATGGAACTCTGTAGCACAGAGTTCTGAGTTAGTAATTTCACTTTCAACTGTGGATCACTTGCTTGTAGCATATAATCCTACATGATAGTGCTCAGCAAAAGAATCATTTCATTCTGAAGAAGTCAAGAATAGCCTTGAACTCATAGTCAGTGGCTCTATGTCTTACATATGTCTTATATAGCTATAAGACAATGCTAAAAGCAAAATGTATTTTACAAGTCATCAGAAATACTTACTGGGATACTGTATTTTTTCCTTTAATTTAGGCTCCATTTCCTTTGTTTTTTTCTTTTTATTTCCCTCTAAAGGTTGAGGCGGAACAAAGAAGTTCACAAGCTTACCCTAGTGCAGACAACATTAAATAGTTATTAGCTCATGTCTCTTCACAGTCACTCTGACATTCATTAATCTCCTCACATTTGAAAGTTGGCATGAGCTGCTACAAACGTATGTTCTGATCTCACTAATTCGCTCAGATAGCTCATTTTTAATTACAGGTGGCACATCATTCAGTTCAGTTTCTTGGCAAACAGTGTTCAGCACCCTAACTGAAACACAAAGAGCAGCTCTGAAAGCCTCTTGGGTCCTCCACTGCTTTAACATTAAGTTGCAAGCATCTACAGCTGATCTAGGTTCCCAATGGGGGAGGAAAATACATATTTAATATATAGCTAGAAACATAAAAG